TCCCTGATGAACACAGCAGAGGTGCGTAACCCCTCCCTCTCCAGACAAGTTCCCACTGATCTGCCTCATCTCATCAGGCATGTGCAGAAATACCTGCCAACATCTAATGCTGGGCATCATTAGTGGCATGATGCAACAAACAAAACAAGGACAAAGAGCCTGGAAAGCATTAGCTGTAAATACCTTGTACAATTCAAGGCAGAAAAGAGGCAGACTGCATTTGGTTTTAAACCAGTTCCTGTTTTCTTTTATTGTAAAGGCAACAAGCTTTCTCTAACATTATTTAGTAGGCTTGACAAACATACTGTTCTCTATAAATCCTTAACTCAGCATTCGTTTCCTCAGTTTCCATACCAGCATTTGAAGTAATGTGTTTGGATTTAAATAATAGACACCTGTACAAAATTGTAAGCCCCTAACATGTAATAATATACCAGAAATCACAACAGCATTATAATGATCATTCAAACAGGAACTCAATCTGACAGCCACCTACCAAAGCTCCTTTCCACCGCTTTACTGTTGTGGGAAGTTTACTCTCAGCCTTTTCTAAATACTCTCATATCCACATCTTTTGCAGTGTGCCTGGGAGGTTGCCAAATTCAGGCTACTTTGGACTAAAGTAGCGGTCGTGGGGGGGAGGGAGGAACAAGTTCCATAGTCCTGGAGACCTCACAGAGAACACCCTGCTAGCAAACAAGGAGGGCTCCAGATCAAGGACTTCTGTTGACCTCAGCTGTCAGTATGGCATTGGGAAAGAGGCAGTCCCTCAGGTAGGCTGGTCCCAAGCTGGTTAGTGCCAAAAGCTGCATAGTGACTTTATCAGAAGCAGAAATGAGAATATTTCAACAACAAGCAGTTCTCAGCTTTCCTGGGGATAGTAAATGATGGTCAAAGCACAACAGGCCTGTCAAGGCTGGATCCCCACTTTGAACTTTAGGGTTCAAATGTAGGGGCCTGCATGAAAACTTCTAAGCTTATCTACCAGCTTAGCTTTGGTCCGCTGCCACCATCACAAGAATTCCCTCCCTGGGAAGCCTTGAGAAACCTTTCACCAATTCCCTGGTGAACACAGATCCAAACCCCCTTCCTTACTCCCACCCTCCTTTCACCAACTCCTGGTGAATGCAGATCCAAACCCCCTTGGATCTTAAAACAAGGAGAAATCAATCTGGTTCTTAAAAAAGAAGGCTTTTAATTAAAGAAAAAGGTAAAAATCATCTCTGTAAAATCAGTATGGAGAATAACTTTACAGGGTAATCAAACTTAAAGAGCTCAGAGGACCCCCCTCTGTCTTAGGTTCAAAGTACAGCAAACAAAGATACACACTCTGGTAAAAAGGTACATTTACAAGTTGAGAAAACAAAGTAAATCTAAGACGCCTTGCTGTCTTTTTACTTACTAGTTTGAAATAGGAGAGACTTGTTTAGAAAGATGGGGAGAACCTGGATTGATGTCTGGTCCCTCTCAGTCCCAAGAGCGAACCACCCCTAAAACAAAGAGCACACACACAAACCTTTCCCCCCCCAAGATTTGAAAGTATCTTGTCTCCTTATTGGTCCTTCGGGTCAGGCGTCAGCCAGGTTACCCGAGCCTCTTAACCCTTTACAGGTAAAAGGATTTGGAGTCTCTGTACACAGAGAGCTGTTACCCTTCCCTTCATAGTTATGACAAGGCCAGATCCAAAACTCGTTGAAATAACTGGAAAGGGCTCAGATGGATTTCAGTGGACTATAGATGAGGAACAACCTTTTTTTTTTTTTTAAACACCAGTTCTGGAAGATTATCACAAAAAAATTCAAACGTTATTTCACTAGTTTAATCACTCTACTGTGAACATTTCTGTCATAAGCTGAGTTGCAGATGAGCTGAATTGTGCATAAAGGTGTCTGACCTTGAAGTTTTGTATCTATTTTATTTTTTAATCAGGTGAGGGGTAATAGCATTAAGTGAATAGAGCATGGTAGGTCCTGTACATCAGTCACATCCAATAATCATTTCTTCATGAAACTATCGCAGATGAAGAACCAAGAGGGAGTTCTGACAATCCTGTCATATCACTAGTTTTTGCTTGCATTGTATTGAGATTACAATTGCATATGAGATTAATTTTAGCTTTAAGGGTTTGGATTTCCTCTTCTAACCCTTGTTACTCTAGTACTATGACCTTGATGCTGTCACCATTCAGAAAGTTTAATGAGAGAATCAAAGAGGAAGTCTAATTTATGATTACCTGTTTAATTCCTGTAATGGTGACACGTAAATTCATACATAACTGTAGTTTTTTAACACCACGGATGCACAGAGGTTTTCCATCTTTGTACTTTAAAGTCAGGGCAATATTTTGTTCTTTCTTTACAGTGAGCAAAATTTGATGTGCATTCTCTTTTAAATGGCATCTGATGTGGTATCTCTCTTCAGTTCTTTGTGGTTTCCTGTTTTTCATACACAGATGAACACATCTGATGAGATCTGTTCAGCTTCATCATATATTATCATTTATGATTTTCTCAATACAAGCATCAAAATGACATTTAGATTTCCAGGTCCAAAGGCTTTTATGAATACAGTAAAGGCCAGATTAGGATTTTTCCCTGCAGCAGAAATATGAACTCAAGTCTGCAACGTTCTGCTTTCAGTTGAAAGCTCTTTTTTTAAATTTAGGTGAATTGGCAAGTATTTATTTAGTGCAGGGCAATCAGATACACCTCTACCCCACTATAACGCGACCTGATATAACACAAATTCGGATATAACGCGGTAAGATTTTTTGGCTCCCGAGGACAGCGTTCTATCGGGGTAGAGGTGTTATAACTATCATTTTTTTTATACAACTCCATATTACTAAGTAATCTGAATTACTTTGTACATGTGAAAAGGAGATGTGAAAATATTTGTGGAATAAAAATGTTGTGGGGCTTTTCTAAAGTTAGACAGTGTAAAGAGCAGAAGCCTATCTGTAGCATGTGTGAGGATTGTGTCTGTGGCTCTTTAGACTTTTTTAGCATCCATATGCACACAAACAAGCTTTAAAAACACAAAATCTTACACATTTTAAAGTCCTGCAAATAACTACAGATCACCTAGAATGTGATCCTGTAAAGTAGGCCCTTCTCTACTCCTACTGGGCATTGAGGTCAGTCAGGGGTTTAATGCCTCGCAGAATTTAGATAGTAACCTTTATAATGACATCTGGGGGAAGCGGAAGCAGCAGCTGTTGACAGGTGGTATGCCATGGCTTCTAAAGGGTTCCATACCTCTAAGTGGTGGGCATTGGGTCAGGTCCCAAATCTCACCATCTTCATTGATAGTGGTTGGCAGAAGAACCTGCCAGTCTGTGTCGGCAGATGAGTTCAAAGGGACGTGGGATACAGAAGGATGAGGAGGGGAACTGAGGGGAACAAAATGCGACTCTACTAAAGAGGATCAGTTTAGCATGTCTTCGTTCTGAATTGCTCTTTCCACGCCTGCCACACTCTGCTCCAGAGCTACAAATAAAAGCAGGGGCAGGTACTGCCAGTGGCAGAGGGATAAGGGACTCATTCCCAGTTAACGCTGACAGGATATGTCAAAGCACTCAGCCCGCCTTTGTCTAGCTGAATGAGGCCTTCAGCGCATTTCAGCTGTCCTTCCGCCTTAATGGTAGCACCTGTTCATCCTCCGTTGAATTCGTTTTCATCAACAGGCTCCTTTTTCTCCATGCTGCTAGGACTTGGGGCTGAGGGGTGCCTTCCCCCAGTTCTTGTTGCATTCTTCAGAAAGGAGGCAGGATTTCCCCCCACCCCTAGTAGCAGGCTCCCAGCCTAGTAGCATCTTGAACTGTTGGTTCCTCAAGTACCAATTCCCTTCCTTAAATGCTCAGGTAGACCTTGTTTCTAGTCTGGAGAATAGAGCAAGATCATTGAATAAAGTCTCAAACATTGCTTCAAAGTTAGCTACTAAATTGGATTTAGAAATGTATAGTTTGGATTATTTATGGAAGAGCTTTCAAATTTGTGCAGATGTAGACATGGTAAGAGCTGCACTCTAATATCCATGTAACTGTTATAACCCATTACCATTGCTATCATCCTGCAGTTTTTCCTTTGTTTGTCACTACTACTCAATTCTGTAACAATTTTCTCATTTATAAAAGCAATTTCTTTGGGAGGAGGTGGAGGTCGGGAGAACAGCCGTATAGTCAAATAGAGCAAGCTACACTCGTGGGCAATAAGTTAAAGAACCTTTCCCTTCCTTAGGTTGCTGATCTGAACTAAGCCTTGAGTAATGATGTCATAGCAGTTATTATCTGAAGGTTGTTAGCCTGTACAAAGTGAGCTGGTATAAATGAGCCTTAATTACAAAAACTACAATCACTGTAAGCACTAAGTATCATGCTTGTTAGTCTGCACAGAGGCCAAGGACCATGAAGACAGAACTTCCTGTCCATTCCAGAGGTGTTTCCTTCAAGTCAAGATTGGGATCATGTGGGGTGGTTTGCTGTACACCTCTACCCCGATATAATGCTGTCCTCGGGAGCCAAAAAATCTTACCGCGTTATATCGAACTTGCTTTAATCCGCAGGAATGCACAGTCCCGCCCCCCGGAGCACTGCTTTACCGCGTTATATCCGAATTCATGTTATATCGGGGTAGAGGTGTACCTGTTCTGTGGATAAATAGAGGATTTTAATCTTGGCACCAGAGACTCCATCAACTTTCCCTTGCACAAAATTCACTTACACTAAAAACAAACCAACAAAAAACCCACCTCCACACTATTTTGGGAAATAATTTGGCTTGAATATTTAGCATAATAAAATAAGAGGGAGATTAACAGCATCATTTTAATGGAAAATAAGATGTACTAGCATTTGATTGAATCCTTGCAGAAAACTGAGCTTTAGTTTTTGTAGCAAAATCAAATATAATTAAATTAATGTCAGGCTTGAGTTGTGCTGTCTAAATAAGAAAATATTTTCAATATGGCATCTTATTAAATCATTTCTCTCCCCCTCCCAGAACTATAGTGCCATGGAAACTGTTCCGGCAGTGCCTTCATGAGATTCATCAGATAAGCTCTGGTTTGGAAGCAATGGCTCTTAAGTCTACCATTGACTTGACCTGCAATGACTACATTTCAATTTTTGAATTTGATATCTTCACTAGACTATTTCAGGTAAGATTTTTAAAATATTCAGCATTATGGAAGAACTTAGATCTGTAATTCACCAAATGGACAACAAAAGTCAGATGGTTGGAAAATTGTGAATAACTCAAACATTAGACCGTGGAACTAACTGTGTTTATTTTTTGTTTTTTGGTATCAAAGCCTAAATTTTAAAAGATACACCCATGAAACAATATGTGCATAGTTTGTGGACATGGCTACCCTAATTGTGATGCAGTTGTGGCAACTCATGCATTTTTTCCTGCATTCAGATTTCTCTAAAAATATGGGCCTGGGTTGCTAATCTAAAATGTGTATATAAATGTATAATTAATGTGGCATATACATCATATCTATGCTAAATATGGGCCTGATTCTGCTCCTGTTGAAGTAATAATAGTATTTTTGCCATTGAGTTGAATGGGAGTAGGATCAGGTCATGTGTTTGGCAATGTCATTTTAGTTGCTGAAGAATTGCTGAGAGTTTTACTGTCTGTCTGAACTAAACTAATACAACTAATTTTGTACATATGCTATACAACTTTTGAATATGTGTATCCATTCTACATTATGTACTTTAATGTGGACACCATTCTAATGTCTGAGTTTTCTGAGGACTGGATACAAATATCCATATAGATATATTAATTCTTAAATTTCCTCACTTTAGCCTCTCCTTTGTATATAGGAGTAATTATTAGGATGCAATTCTGGGAAATGAAGTCTCTCACTTATTCAGGCATTGGCTGTTTTTCTCTTTGTCTGAAGTGTACATTGTTTGTGAAAATTATTTTGTTTGTTAAAGATGTGTTCAAACTGTGAAATTTGGATCCAGATCTGTTGTTTTTGAACACCCACAATATTCTGGCATGTTCATTTCTGGGGATTTGGGCTAGGGACCATTTGCAAAAGTTGGATGATAGTAGGGTATGTTGAATCCAGGGCTTTTGTTTCTTTATCATCTCTTATTTTCACCAAGTGAAATTGCCAGAACCAATAAAAGTAAAAGTTAAAATTGTTCAGGTGTAACCCATCTCTGTTTAAGTGTTCTGAGGCCAAACTCAGAGTCTCAAAACATAGAGCATTCCCCTTATAGAAATAACCAAATGCATCTTTTATCATTATGTTTCAAGATTTTTGAGGGTGTTTTTTACTGGTGCCTTTGCTAGAGCTAGTGCAAAACTCAGCTATTTTGAATTTCAAGGATTTGTGTGAATCTTTGGCCCATATGGTTTTGTACCTTCTGAGCTTTGCTTTTGAGTTTGGGGTTTGAGTTAGACAAAACACTCATGGCAGAATTCAGTTGAAACACCTAAGCTTTGCCTGGTTTGAATACGTTTCTATTCCAAACAAAAACTTCTGTGTTCAGTAGAAAATTCTGAAACTTTTTTGTTGAAGCTGAACTGGTTTTCAGGTTGGTAACTGTAAAAGGCTCCTGGGGATACCAAGAGCTGTGGGGGCATTGTGTTACCTCTCTGCCTCATTAAGAATGCATTTTGCTGGCAACTAGACTGTGTCAGCTACCTGCCCTTCCAGTCTGTCTTTCTCACCAGCAAACCTCTCAAGGCTCTCCTGGCCCAAACATTGCTAGTAGGGAACAATTGGAGCATTCCAGCCCATGAGCTCCTCAGAGATGTTTCTCTGCAATCCTCAGCCCTTCTGCTGTGCAGTTACAGAATATATTAAGTTTGCTGCTCTGTTAGTCAGTACATCACAATTTATTAAATACACTCTCCCCTTTAAACACAGCACTGAATTGGCCTCTAGTAAAACAAGTTCAACAAAAGAGCAAGGATAAAGTGATACCAAGTAAAAGAGATAAAGATAGAAATGCTTACAAGCAAATAAAAGTGAAAACGCATCTAAAAGTCTAAAACTTCATCTAGCAGATACTATCTTTGTTCAAGATGGTTTCTCTCACCAATAGCCAGTCTCCTTTGCACCTTTTTACGGTCCGGCCAGGACAGGAGCCAAAGATCAAATCACCTGGCTTTGTCTTCTAGGTGAAGGATAAAGATGGAGTTGAGACATTCCCCAAGGTACAAGCTGGACGATTGAATAGTAGTGTCCCCTTAATTCTATAGCCTGGGATGCCTTTTACACTGCTTTGCTGCCAGAACAGCCACACCTGTCCTGCTCATATACAGCCACCAGCATGTAAAATCACTCCCAGCTGTGTTACATGAATGCTGTCCCAGCCATTCATGAATTACACACAGGATGACACCCACATATTCTTTAATCCAAGCCTTGTTCCCCAGAAATGTGCATCTTGCACTGCTCAGTACCCTCCTGGACAGTATAAGCTCATAGTAACTCCATCATTCCAACACTGGGTAATGATTATGCACCAGCCTAAGTAGAGATTCCCAAACACTTCAACCAAACTACACTGGTTTAGATAAAACGTTAAAAGAAGTTTATTAATGATAGAAATATAGATATTACATGATTACAGGTAGAGATGCATATAAGTCAGGATTGCTTACAAAAGAAACAAATGGATAAACACACACATTAATTCCTAAACTTTACCAAGGCTAATAGGTTTAAAAGCAAAAAAGGGTTACCTCACCCTCAGCTGTAATACATTTCACATGCTGCATCTGCATCCAGTGTGGGACCACTCTTCCCTTCGCCCCCCCCCCTTTGTTCAGTTCTTCGAGAGTCATTGTCATGAGCAGAGAGATGGAAGGAAGAGAGGGGTTACATGGAGGCCACTGTCTCTTATTTTTATACTCCCCTCCTTTCTTTGAGGATTACCCCCTGCCGGGGTGTAGACAAACAGTTCCCTGTGTACTTGAGATCTGAACCATATCTGGGATGAAATGTACATTTCTTGTTTACATCTCTCCGTTGCTGAAGAATGTCTGCTTAAGTAAACGATAGTCCACTTGACTTTGATACCTGTCTGGGGTTGCTAGTGTGTGTCTGTCTCTGAAAACTGTTACCCGAACTTACAACATTTTTCAGTAACAATGATATAGCAAAATCTCACAATTTTATATGCAGTAATGTTACACACATTTCAACAGGATACTAATATTCAGTAGATTGAGTTTTCACATGATGCCTCACAAGTCATACTTTGTACAAAATATATCATAACCTTATAAATATGGTGAACATGGGATACAGGATGTCACAGGATTCTCTCTCTGTTCCCTAAGGGATTGCCTTTGTCTTACAAGTCAGGAAGGCTTCCTGGGGATTCAGGCTCTGAGTCTCTCTAGGATGCAGGAGCCATGTTAATTCTCTGTCTCTCGAGTTCAGGCAGGTTTAGCGTCATAATTTTGTTTATGACTAATATGTAAATTGAGGTAAACCCACACTCCTTTATCTAGTACAGATGTGTTTATCACCTTTACCTAGGCTAAACTGTCAGGTCTTAAACATGTTCCAGTAACATCATACAGAGAATTCATAACTTCATATATAAGGTTAGCACTTTCATTTTAGAATGATATTGATAACTAGCATGTTACTAGCTTTGATGTAATACCTCACAAAACATATTTTGTACAAATATTGCAGTAGTGTGTAGGGCAGAGGTGGGCAAACTACGGCCCGCGGGCCACATCCGGCCCACGGGACCCTCCTGCCCGGCCCCTGAGCTCCTGGCCCGGGAGGCTAGCCCGCGGCCCCTCCCCGCTGTTCCCCTTTCCCCGCAGCCTCAGTTCATTGCTGGCGCAATGTTCTGTGTGGCAGGGATGCGAGCTCCTGGGGCAGCGCAGCTGCCGAGCCCAGCCTGACCCGGTGCTCTGTGCTGTGCGATGGCGTGGTTGGCTCCCGCTGGGCGGCGTGGCTGCCTGTCCTGCTGTTCTGGGCGGCACGGCTGGAGCACCGCCAGCCACCGGTGCTCCAGGCTGTGTGGTAAGGGGGCAGAGGAGTTCTGGGTGGTGGCGGTCAGGGGGTGGGGTTGTGGATAGGGGTTGGGGTGGTCAGAGGGCAGGGAACAGGGGGGTTGAATGGGGGTAGGGGTGCCGGGGGGGCAGTCAGGAAGTGGGGGGTTGGTTGGGGTGGCAGGGGGCAGTCAGGGGCAGGGGTTCCAGAGGCAGTCAGGGGACAGGGGAGGGGGGGGGGATGGGGCAGGGGTCCCGGGGGGGCTGTCAGGGGGCGAGAAGCAGGGGGAGTCAGATAGGGGGCGGGGGCTGGGCCATGCCTGGCTGTTTGGGGAGGTACAGCCTCCATACAACTTCAGAAACCCGATGCGATCCTCAGGCCAAAAAGTTTGCCCGCCCCTGGTGTAGGGTGTGAATACAGGGGTGCCTAGAATCACAGTAAACAAACCCAAACCTTGGTTTGGGGGTTTGACTACAAGACGTTCTAAGAGGAACACTCCTACTAACTATACCATAAATTAATATAGTTTGGGGTAACGTACAATTACTCTTTTGTAAGAAAGCTATCCTGTTTTTCCTGCTGTGCTTACAAATCTGACACAAACATTCCTTTTTGCTCTTTTAAACTCTATATTAACTATAATTATGAAAAGGGAAGGCAGTGAGCTGAGAAATACATTTTGTTCTGGCCCTGCGGTGTCTTGTAGATTGTGTTACACTGCGGAGTTCAGGCTGACAGTCTGAAATAAGATTTATTTTCCTTGATCCATATACCAACAAATAACTGATTATATTAGTTTCTGTTTACTATATTATCTGAGCATTGCCTCTATGATTCATTACCTTGCTTACTGTTAGATAAAGCGGATCAACAAGACCAATTTATGTAAGGACAGAAGATTGGTTAGGGTTAATTTTTAATTTAAGTACAATCCTTTTAAAAGAAGCAGAGAGAACTCTTGCCTTAGAGGTGTGAGATTCTCAGCTATTGTATATCTGTGTCATTTTATTGAAATCAATTCATGCTGGCTGTGAATCTGGCCAAGATGCTACATGTACTTCCCCAGATTTTTAAGATACTTCTCTAACTTCTTTGTATATGTATCAACAGTGTTAAAAGTTAAGTTGCTTTTTTTTCTCCCCATGCAAGAGCGTCACTATAAATGTAGCGCTACAGTTGGTATTGTTACGTTTTGGATGCTTTAAAACAATAGAGCCTTTATTCTGTCAATGTAATCTGGTCCCACGAAGTATAGTCTTTTTGTAGTACAAGGTATTTGCATATCCTTCTTCCCTTAATTTTTTTGCAACTAACTTTCTCCTCCTGGTTAGGCATGATGGCATTCAACTTCTGGATTCTGCTCTCACTGAAAATAAGGATGTAGGGAGGAAAACTGAAGTTTGAGAAAAGTTCTTGCATTTTGTCAGCATTGCATTTGGATTATGGAATTCTCTTGCATGTGTCATTTTGTGCAAATTTATTTTTAAAGAAATTAATCATATTGAAAGCATTTAAACTTTCTTAGGCATCTATTTAAAAAATCCAATTTCATCTTGGAATATCCAACATGAAAAGTTCTAAATAAAAATGTTCGTGTTCTGTTGTTTTAAATAGTGGGAGGTTAAGTGTGGTTAAGAGCTGTTTGACTTGTGAACTGGAGAGCTCGCCTGAAGAATTGTTACTCTGTGGCAGAGAGAGGCTGCCAAAAACCTTCATAACGGACACATTTTATCCCCACTTTCTTAGCACAAGCAGCATGTTTCTAAAAAATGTCACCTTTAAATGGAATTTGCATAAGAGAGAGTTGAATAGAGTCTCAAGATAGACTCTCATCCCGATTTCCCTCTTCTATTCTGTTCCTCAACATGCCCCACCCCACCCCCACACACAAATCCTTTAGCCACTTAGAGGCACTATTGTCTTTCAAAATGTTGGTTGTTGAACACTCACTATTTTTATGTTGGTACCTGAAATACCTAAATAAAAGATGTTATGTTTTGTTTTGATTGCGGTAATAATGTGGCATGTCAGGGGTGCTTCAGTGCCAGCTCTTTGAAGTAATTGTGACTCAAGTGAAGTGGCAATGATAATTCATCAATACCCTGAAAGTAACACTGTCACTGTTCATCTCATTCCCTGGCCATAATACTGGTATGACAACTGACAGGATCAAGAAGTGTAGAATAATAAAAAGGATGACAGTTCAAAAATCAGTGCTTCACTAGACTTAGTCTATTAGTATAATAATGCAGGGTCTTGTCTGAAAAAGTAAAGCTGTAACATGCTTCTTTGCTGTGCATTCATACAAACTGTGTAGCTTTCATGAGACTTTCCATGCTATTTTGGGACCCAATTCTGCAAACACTTACTATGTCATAACACTTAACTTTACTGCGACTACATATGTTATCATCATTGAACCCTGAGATACTGATCCTGCAAAGATCTTACACAAGTGCTTAACTTGATACATTGAAGGACTTTGAAGGACTCCTCACAATGCATAAAGTTAAGCACATGTGAAAGTCTTTGAAGGATCAGGGCCTTAAACAGCTATATTGAATCAGATATGTACATTTTAAGTGAAATGGTCTGAAATAATTTCAGTCTTTGTCACAAGTAGTCTTGAGTTTTATTCTAACACATACTTATAATTATCTAACTGGATATTTGTGTGTTCTTTTTAGCCTTGGGGTTCAATCTTAAGGAACTGGAACTTCTTAGCTGTGACACACCCTGGGTATATGGCATTCCTAACATATGATGAAGTCAAAGCAAGGTTACAGAAATACAGCACCAAACCTGGGAGGTAAGAGGTTTCACTGATTACTGCTTTACAAATAAAATTGCTGCCTCTAAAGCTAAGTAATTATACTGGATCCATATTCCTGGGTCACATCCATTTGTTGTCTGGTTCTGGGGGAGTGAATTCATAACTTGATTAGCCAACATCTTTTTTTTCCATTTGTCAAAGTAAAGCTGTATGATCTCTAATATGTAGCAGTTTCTATATAAAGACTGTAGCTGAAGCAAACTTCAAGCCCTTTTTTTTTGTAATGGGATGCAGTTTTGCCACCCCGAATGCTCAAAAAACAAGAGTCAGGCCTCAAGCTTTTTTTCTCTGCACCCTCAAGGGCTAGAAACTTACTTTGAGAAAATGCTGAGATTCCCCTCACTTTAAGAAACACCAAATGGATCTATTTAATATAAATAAATAGTAACAACATCTTGAGGCTTGGGATAACATCAGGAGAGTTAGTAACATGGGGGATGACTGATCATGCATCTGGGGTTTAAAATGACTTGTGTTGAAAGCCAGTGGTCCCCAAAACTTTTTACTTTGCACCCACTTACCCATCTGCGTCCCCCCCACGCTCCTGGAGCCACGACCCGGTCCTGGCCCCAGCTCTGGGGAGAGGGGGTGTGGACGGGTAAGGGGGTGCAAAGTAAAATGTTTGGGGACCACTGGCTTTCAGAACCCCCACTGTAAAAAGTGTTCCAGCGCCACTGTTGTAGTTTAATCAGTATTACTTACAATATGTTGTTGTGTGAAAAGCACATACTTGCCTCATCAGTAATTGTCTGATATCAGAGGAGCTGTACATTGACAAAGTTAAAAAGGATCAAATTTGTGTGTGTGTGTAATTTTTAAATAACTTGTGTTACTGTACCTATTGAATTATTCAGCTGAGCTAACTTTCACTATTTATGTTTATACTTTGTACTATTTGTGCTTTCCCCTTCACTCAGTTTTGGCAAATGCAAATACGAGTCACTTCATTCTTGTTCAGTTGTTTTCTAGCCAGTTTAGAATGACCATATTTCCCAAAGGAAAAACAGGACACCGCCTGGGGCTAGCCCAGGCCCCCCACTTTCCTCCACCCCACACGGCGGGCTGGCCTGAGCCCCTTGCCTGAGCCCTGCGTCGTCCACCCCTCAGCTGGCATCATTGCCGAGCTCTGCCTGCCCCTCGCATGGGGTTGGGACTAGTGTCGCTGCTCGCTCAAGCCATACCCGTGCCTGAGCCCGGCCTCTCCTCCCACCCCTGCGAAGCTGGCATTGCCGCTCCCCCCCACACCACTTTTTTGACAAAACTGGGCATTTGTCCTGTTTGCTCTTCTGAACTGATCACCAGTTGGCATAAACAAATGGGACAAATGCCCACTTTTGCCCAAAAGGTCAGGACAGCCGGGATAGGGCTTAAAAAAGGGACTGTCCCAGCCAGAACAAAGGACGTATGGTCACCCTAAGCCAGTTTCACTTTCTTTTTCTCACCTTTCATGTTCTAATGTTTAGATTTCTAACTCTTTAGGGGCACACTTATGTCTGACCGAAGAAATCTCCTGAAAATTGGCAGGATGAGGGGAATGTATTGGAGAATAATTTCCAATATTGGATTTTCTCTTTTAACAAAACCTAAATTGTATCTTGTTACCTGGCCTGTAAAGGAATCTTGCTTTACCAGTTTAGATAACAAGTTGATACTGATCTCATGCACGTATGATAAAACCCAAATAAAAATGTCATGATGATTTTCAGAGTAGTGTGTTTTAGTTGATCATTAATGAAGTAAAAATAATGACTGTGGGGTTATAAAGAAAAAAAGGTCTTTAAAAGATTACTAGATTTTTTTATTTTTTTTTTTAAGGCCAAAAGGGATTATTAGATCATTTAGTCTGACCTCCCGTAGCACATAGGCCATAGAATTTAATTGTTATCCCTTTAAAGTGTCCAATAACTAGTGATTAGCTAAAGCATATCTTCCAGAAAGGCATCCAATCTTGAACTGAAGACTTCAAAAGAAAATCTTATCCAAAGCTGCTTTAATGTTCCGTGTTACACAGAATTAATTTTAAGACCAACTTCTCTCTCTCTGATTAGTATCGCTAGGGAACTTGTTAGGTTACTTACGTGAAATATTAAACCTTCCAGAGAGAAATAGCTGATATAAAGTGAAATTGCTTGTTTGTTCACTTTAAAATGTTCTGGCAATTCTTAAGTTTTTGTTCAAAAGCCAATAAATAGAAACAAGTTACTCCTCCAGTGAAATCTTGGCCTCATTGAAGTCAATGGGTGTTTTGTCATTAACTTCAATAAGGCCAGAATTTCACATTTTATATTTATTGTGGAGGAGGTACAACTTTCAGCAGTGATATTTCACACTACAAATCCGATCACCTCTCTGTGGCTGGTTTTCCTGTTTGAGCAATTAAAAACTGAGTTGCTGTCTGACATTGAAGATTCCATAATTTTTAGTAAGAGCAAGAATTAGCTCCCGCATTCTTGCCTATAATTTTCCTTTCTCTTCTATTGTGCAATGTGCTGTGCATGGTTTTTACTCCTGGCTGCCACCTGTTCTATACAAAAGTGGCTGAATTTCAGTCATGCTGTATATATGTTATCAGAGAAGCTCTTCTGGGTACAGTGCTTCAGAATAAAATAGGCTATATAAACATTGGGGCTGATCAGGATTTTTTGAAGTGAATTTTAAGTCCCAGAATCCCAATCCAGTGCCTTAACCACAAAACCACCTTTCCTTTCCATTTGTTTTGCCAAGCATTTTTATTAGAATTGACTTTGTAACCCATTGTCCTCCAGCTACATTTTCAGACTGAGTTGCACTCGACTGGGGCAGTGGGCCATTGGATACGTAACTGGTGATGGAAACATTTTGCAGACTATACCTCACAATAAGCCTTTATTTCAAGCTCTAATTGATGGCAGCCGGGAGGGATTGTGAGTACAAATGATAACTTTCATTTTATAAAATATTGATGTATTGCTTTGCTAATTCATAATTTAAAGCATCAAAAGATGCTTTGAAGTATTAGAAGTAATAGATGATATGGCTGTTTTGTAGTCATTTGGAAATCCATGACTATTATTTTTATTCATCTATAAGACACTTATTTCAAGGTAATGCAGTTAACCAAAGTTGACCATATTTTATGGCAGATAAATTCCAGGGGGAAATGAGATTGGGGAGTTATAATTTAAATTTTGTTTAATATAAAAGTCACAAGTGCGTAAGCTGATCATGCAGTTAGTTCTGCTAATTGCTCCTGTGTAATACTGGACAATGGATATTAAATATATTTGATAGCTTTGCCTATGCCTTATAGGCCAAAAATGTCCCAAGTTTTTAATTTTGTGTGTGTGTGTGTGTGTGTGTGTGTGTGTGTGTGTGTGTGTGTGT